ATTCAACGGTCTATGAAACAGTAAAGTATGCGGCAGGGTTTGGGAAGAGTGAATGAAGACAAGTCGCGTAATTAAGTAGATATATCACACATTTATAAATTTTCAAGTAAATACACAGAGAGAGATAACGGTTACGGTACAATTTATAGTTGGTTGCACGGGATAACCGTCCTTCATTTTAAACTTCTTCGTCCTGCACACCTTGCGCTTCAACACCTCTCTCTTTCTCATATAATAGATAAAATAACAATTATATATATGTATATATATACATATATATTACCTAATCACAATTCGCAATCGAAACCCGCAGTGCCAAACTTCCTTCCTATATATATATCTCATATATATATATTCCTATATATATATCTTGATAAGCTGTTCGTACAAAATCTCTACAGATATAATAACTTTTTCGTAACGAGATAAAAAATTATTTCTGCCAACTTATTGTTACATTCATTTATTTAAAGGACAGTATCTCAGATACCGTCAGGAGAAAAAAATTCGATCGTATAAAAAGTGCGACCTTTATCACGCACGGCAACGTGTTCTTATAATTTATCGTCGAGTTTCCCGAACGGAGATATATCTTTGCGAGATATGCCAGTCAGAGTCGCATTATTTTATATTTAATGCAATTGAATAAGCATGAAATCGAATCGGACATTGATCCCGATGTGAGGAGTGGTTGTAGGACATTTTTTCGTCTCTTTTTATTGTACGAAACATGATTCCCCCTTTATTGCCAAACTCATTAACACGTCGAACGTGACATCGAAGTTGTCGCGTTACCGATATTATCATTTCTCGAGGAAGAGATATTTATTTGCTCTTTGCGATGTGATCACGGCGTTATCTCGTTCGCGATTGCTGCCTCGATTTACATGTAGATTTCTGTCCACTCGATAAAATTCAATAAAATTACGTCTCTTAATTAATAAGAGAAATCGACGTCTATCTAAATCATCTCATTATTGCGTCTGTACCCCGACATGTTGCACGATTTATTGCAAGTGGCAAAAAAGTATTCTTTTAAAAGAAGATTCGATAACGATTCATGTTTTTGTATATACTATCATAATGATTATGTTATGATATAATGAATATGTTATCTCCGAGACTGGTATTTTCTGATAAGATTATTATTCTGTTACTGTAATTACGAAAGACGTTTAAACATGCAAAACGTGCTTGTAAAATACGTTAACAAACGGATTGTCTTTGAAATAAAATGAAACATTGACAGGCTTTTGATGCCACTTATGATTAATTGTGACTAGTCGTTAAAAAACACATAATCCTCGCTCTCGTATGTTTGTTTTGCTAATAGAATTTTGCAATCTGTGCATATTGTTGATCGACAGCGTGCTGAACAATACGACTCGATCGGCGATCGTGTATATCGTCGCCGCGCGTGATTTATCACATGACATCGCCATTGTTTCTAAACGCTGAAAGAATTTTGCTCACGACATTCACCCGATAATGACATTACGGCGCCGCGATGCGGGCGAAATGGAATCATTAATAATTCTATAACGATATTATTATCGGCACGCGTGATTGATTAAGAGTCTCCGGGTCCTCGCTCTCCCTCTCTCTCCCACCCGAGCTCGGAGCGAAAAGAAATTTATTTCGTGGGCGCGACATCGTCCGAGATAACGATACAACATCGTCATGCGTTCACGACGAGAGAGAAAGAAACACGTATACGAGAGAATAAAATCATTAATAATTCCGTAATACCCGTAGTTGTACAGCGCGTCTGATTTATTAAAGAACAGTCGTCGCGCATTGATCTCGAGTCGTCGTGCATTGATTTCCAGTCGTCGAGGAAAATTCACGTCGCATCAACGACGTTCTCTGATAACGCGACGATATTATCGGCGACCAGCAGAAAAACAACCGAATGTGATTCTGCGGGAATAAATCAGGTGTTAAGTCGAGGCAGCAGGACAGAAGAATACACGGACGGTTTTTCAAGCGCGAAAGAAGGAGGTAGAAGAAGAAAGAGGAAGAGAGACAGAGAGGCGACATGAGAGGAAGGAAGACGGTGAGAGACGGAGAAAGAAAGAGAGGAATAGAAAGAGAATTAGAGAGAGAGAGCATCGTAATGCTATACATTGTACATATACACATCTAATCACATAATATTCCATTAAAGATTGGTCGGTGTGTATGCGTGATTTATCATTTAATTTATTTTAAGTTAAAACCTCTTTTTACAATGATATCTTACAATGTGTCACTTTTTACATCCAATAAACATCCTCGCCGTACGTCCGTCGAGTGCGAAAGGATCGCTCCGCCCTCTTTTGTCCCTTTTCCCCCATTCTCCCCACCCCCTCTCAAAGTTCTCTCTCTCATCTCGTTACATTTCAAATACATCACCACCGTTAAATTCCTCTCGCCCATTTGTGCGGATGCGATCGACCTCTCTTAAAAATCATATATATTTTTTTGTTTGTTTTTACACAGGCTACACGCTACTTCCTAATAATACTATAATAGATGCTTCTTTCCTCTCCTCCTTTCGCGGCCCCCTCCCCCCCTCCCCTCCATTCCCGATTTCTTGAACGTGCGAAGATGTCACACGAAAATGACTATCGATATCGACTTTTTGCTCTCGTCCCTTCAGTCTTTTGGAAAATCGCCGCCACTCGTCGTCCCCCCGTGGGATCCCGAAGGGCCATATTTTGCTCGCTTCGTCCTCGCGGCGGGAGGAAAAGATACCGCGCGACATCCTCCCGAAATCACGAACATACCGTCGTCTGTCTACCCCCTCCCCCCCCCCCCCCCTCTCTCCCCTTACCCTCTCACCTTCGTATTACCTATGTACGTCTATTTAGTCGCAAAAAACATACGCGAGTGGTAAAATCTCTAAAATCGAAAAATCACAATGTGTTCGGAACCCAAGCGAGTGAGTCTTTCACGAGTAGCGCGATCAATCAATGGACAATCAATCGATGACCGATAGCGATAATGACAATGCTAATGATCACCCGGTGTCTCACCTCTGTACGACATCTCGTGCGTCGTGTTCACTCGCCGATGAGTCTTCAATTATATCCTGTTGACTATTTATATGCATGGTTGTTTATGATGCGCAATTAGTTGCTAATTATGCACAATCACTTAATGCGCGCGCGACGGTCGCCCGCCCGCGCGTGTTCCAATATATATTTATAATACATATATTTTATTTTCTTCATTTAACTTGCCTTTAGTCGCGTGTTTCTTGTGTTTCTTGCACTGACTGTTCGATGTGTGAGTGTGTGTGTGTTGTGTGTGTAAGTGTGGATTTTTCATGTTCGCCGTGACTAAATTATGAAGCTAACGCTTGTGCGATCCGGTGATCGCATCGACGCGCCGCGCCGCGCCAGGTCGGGCCAATCGATTGCGATCGTCGGAGGCTTCGTATATAATTTATGAATTTACTCTATGCGCTTTTATTACACTTATGTGAGCTATCACTAACCGGTACGACACACAGAACGGTGCTGGACCAATGGACGCCGACAGTAAACAGACAGAGGCAAAATACAAGTCAAAAGTTTAAAAAAACATAGGAAAAGCTCTATTTCGGAGATTATCGGTGTTGATCTGCGATCGAGGCTCAACTTCATCTTCGACATGTTGTAAAAAGGAGTTTCAATTCCTGCGGGAAATAAATTACGTGTTTCTCGACCGATCGTGAGGCTCAATCGACTCTCGTTTGGAAAGACATTGAATTCCACGCACGATTGGCTGTATCGTAAAAAGTTTCCTAAAAACGGACACTGCGATCGAAGTGCCTTGTTTATTATTGCTCGCATCTACTTGAATGAAAAAGAAAAACGTGTAAACTGCCAGAAAGAGAAACATCAAATTTTTTTTTAACAATCTAGATTGCTACATAGTGAAAAGTAATCGCTCTTTGAAAAGAGAGAACGTTTCTCTCTTTCGAAAGAGTTGGTATAGAATATAGCGAGCTTCGTAAATTACCATTTGCGAGACTGTTAATTGCCGTTTCGCTTAATTGCGGTCGAATGAGACACGGAGCTTCGACGAGTCTCGGGTAACTCACGCGAAGCAACACGCGACCGACGGCGAGGATCTTCCGAGGAACGTCCAAACGATCCCGCACCGAGTTACGAACGCCCGTTAATAAACGTTTCTCTTGAAATTGCACGATACCGCGTCGATTTCCGTGCGTAGCATGCACGCGTTCCGGAATCCCGCGCATTTGCAGCACACCGCGACTCTTCGCACTCGGAATCGATTTTGGGCGCGAAGCGTAATCTTTGCGTCAACGACCGTCGCGCGGGAGGACTATAAGGCTGTAATCACACTATAGACTCCCGATTCTGACTGCAGAGTCGATCGAATAGAGTGATTTCTATTCTCGAGTCGGCTGCTGCTGATTGGTTGAATTATAGTCGGGAGTCCGAGTCAGTATAGTCGAGTCAGAGTTGGGAGCCTGTAGTGTGATTACGGCTTAAGGGCCATGGCATACAAAGAAAGTAGTAAAATGTAAGCGGTAAGCGAATTGGCCATTCAGCCATTTAGAGATCGCAACACCATAACGTAAACAGTAGCAAATCCAATATGTTGATTTCCTTACTGCTTACGTTTTACCACTTAAAGTTTTCTGTGTGCTATGGTCCTAACACATTGTTAAACAATAGAGTAGTAAGTTTTAAGCCGTAAGAAAAGTTGACCATTTAATTTTTCTAGGCTCCGTACATTCGATTGTAATTAATCAATGTCTTACGACTTAAAGTTTAATACTTTAAAAAATATAGATGCAGATTGAATACCATGTGGACTCTTAATATATAATTCTCATCGTGTTAATATTAATATTAACACCAATATGGTGTAGATTTTATAACCTATGACTATCACAACATGATATGGATTTAATACCCATGGTGTTAAATCCACATCACGTTGGTGTCAACACTAACACAGTGAGAATTATATGAGCACCGTGTGGTGTTAAATCCGTACCGATATTTTTTAGAGTGAATAATTACATAGATCCCGCTCGCCCCCTCCCCTACGTAACGCGCATTATGATCCCGCGCGACGGTCCGGCATTTGATCCGATTTGATCGTCCACCCAGAATCCTCCGAGGAGTCACCTAAAAACAGGTCATCACACGCACACACGCATCCGCTCTTTCCGCATGCACTCGCTCACTCACGCTCGTACGCGCGCACATATAATATAAATTCTTGTATCTATATATTTATTTACATGTTATATATCATATATAAGACTCAATACAGTAGCTGATTTTTCCTTTGTACTTGGGGCCGGGGCTCGATGGCCCTACATGAAACTTTACATATTTACATGAGCTTTCACTTAAGAGAGATCCGACAGACGCTCTCACGGCCATGCACAAGGACGTGAATCCCGGGATCCCGCGTGTCGGGATTTTCGTGTCGTCAGTGATCGATCGTGGCCCCCTTGGCTGAGGAAGGCCCGCGTGCGAGAAAGAGAAGAGGAGCGGCGGTTTTGTGTTTAGTTTATCTTTTTTTTTTCTGTTTTTTCCTTGCTTTTTACATTACAACGAGACAGTGGTGGGCTGCGTCCTGAGCTGCTAGTCACTCGCGATTCATGTGTACTCCGATCGCCAGCCGGTCTGAAACCAGACAAAGATTACCACACTCTTGAGATGCTCTACTTGCCGGCCGCTCTGAGTGAAGGCTCTTCTTTCGCGCGCACCAGCGCGACACGATTAACATTACCGCTTGGAAATAGACAAACGTGATGGAAGTTACACTGACAGTGACGATTGAAATATTTGGAACAACGTGTCGTCGGGAGAAAGTAATGCTTAGATATTGTATATATTTAATTCTTCAATAGGCTCCATATTGTTTATATGGAAAGTTGAGTCTTAGTGAAATGTTAGTTTTTATAACTATATAAGTATAATATATAAAACCTATATATAGTATGGTGAATAAAAGATGCAAAGTTCAGTAACGGATACTTTGAGCTATATATGATGTATCAAAAAGGTGTAAAAATTGTACTCTTTGTGAGCACCTTTGATACATCATAATTCAAAAATTATGCTTTGTGTGTCTATGATAACTTTTATTCAGCATTATTGTAAGTTACATTCTATGTGTGTGTGAAAACTAATTCACTGGGACTCAATTTTCCATAATTAGTGCGGGATCCTTTCTCTATCGAGTAATGTAAGACTGAAATTTTGGGGATTATGGATCTAAATGACGCGGTCGTATCGTTTCGCTATCGCGAGATAGTTGCAACATGTTGAACTCGGTTCATAACCCGAGAGAAATCGACAAACTCTACGCGGTAGATCCTGATCGATTATCGGCGGTCGAAGCCTTTGGTCAATCGCCGATGAAGGTAACAATCGTGCACTCACCATTGCGTTCGTCGTGGCCGCCAGCTGCAGACCCTGAAGACTCGTCATGTGATGAGAATGGGAATGCGAATGTGAGTGCGGGTGGATGGGGGGCGGCGCCGGTGGCGCAAATCCCTGATGAAGACCTCCGGCCACGCCGACACCCGTGTGATACATGTAATGCTGCATCGCCGGATGCATCGTGTGATGATGCTGCGACGTACCTGCAACGATAATGGGAAGCGTCGCTCTTTTAAGCACCCCTCCTGTGCCCATGAATTTCGCATAAGAGACCTCTCGGGGGACACGGTGGATTCTTTTCGGTCGTACTGAGTCGTTTACAAAGATGATTATACCGAAAAATACCATACAATTGCGAATTTTTAATTCGTTGCCGCTAATCTAAGTTAAATCTAAATTTGAGTCATTTTCTTGCGGAAGTAGTCATCTGATCTTTGTACATGAACGATCACCTGAGTTTTTTTACACTCTAATTAAAACCACTATTATTAACAATATTTTTTTGTATATATTATTGACTGTTTTGCAATTTATTAGTGAGATTAATCATGAGAATATTATAGATATGAATTTAATATCACACTTTTCTGAAAAAAAGTAAGAGTATAGAAACCAAACAAATATTAAACGGAATAAGCACGTTAAATAGCTTATTGTGACAGTAATTCTAAAAAATAAAAATTTTAATTAACGTTTTTATTGTAGATTTTTGATGAAATTGCATTTCAAGATTTATAAAAAATTAAAATAATTTATACTGAATAATATATTCATATATGTATACAAAAACAATATTTTACACGCCGTTATTCGCCGTTAAGATGTAAAACATTTCAAGTGATTATTCTCAAGTTGAGTGCAGAGGGGTAATCTTTTTGTGTCTCTGGTGTTATATTATATATATAAAACGCGATTTTTCAAAATAAAATTATTGAATTTGAAATAGAAAAGTCCTTGTAAAAGTCCAAGAATTCAACTTACCCATTGGCGATCCGAATCCTGAGTGGAAGGGCTTGTTGTCGAGATCAAGGTGTCCACTGGCCTTGATCATGTCGCCCATGACACCACCGAGACCTAGACAACCGCCGGCCTTTTTCTTCTTGCTTTTCGACGAGAGCTTCCTGTTTCTCGTTTGGATACCTTCCTTCTTCATCGTCAGCGGCCGGTTCACCTGCAACAGTCGTAGACAACAGTTCGCTAAGTTTAAAGTTTATACTACGTAGAAAACGTAAATTCACGATAATTTATGATCACAATTATATTGACAAAGACAGATTAAAATTAATTAAAATTACAATTCGAAGAAATTAACAGATACACTGAATTTCGAAGAATTTAAAATGATACGTAACTTAATCACGTCGTCGCGACATTTCCGTGAGATAGTTATAATAAAGAGAATAAAAGAACTACGTGTAATGAAGGACATGAAAAAATCAACCAAGGAAGGACCGTAAAATTACTGACATGAACAATGCGGTGTCGTAACGGGAAAGAGGGAGAGAGAAAAATAAAAAGAGAATAACGCGATCGTCGGAAGATGTTATTCATTGGAGTGCAACGCGCGATGCGTTTTCTTCGTTCGACTACGCGGCGATGCTCGGCAATGCGCTCCGTACACGGGATCGTAAATCATCGCGTGTTACATGTTCGACGGACGGCAGAGCGTCGGGGAATACCCTTCTTTATTCTAAACTTCAATCTGCGATTTTTCTTCTCCGCAACGTTCCATTCGGATTCCCATACAGTCATGCTAAATCGATTCTCATTGCTTTTTTTCGTCCGTCAAAAGTCAGTCTTTGTCAGCGAGCGCGTTTATCTGTTCCTGCGATTTAATTTAATTTATAATGCTGGATTTGAGAGAAAAAAGACCATCCGATTAAATTACTTTCCTTTATTACTCGAAAGATGCAGGTATTATTGTCAGCAGTGCGAGTTTCGTTCGCTATCTCGGAATTGATTCTGGTGGAAGCGAGACGAGACGTCGCGACGAGGGACCGAGTGCGGCGCACATTACTGACGTAATCTCGTCGGCTTACCAGAGACGAGAGCGCGCAATTAAGGAATCCCTCAGATTCCTGGTAGTCTCTGGAAGCTGGTGCAATTAACGAATCGACAGTCCTCGAGAGCAATTCGCGAGACGCTACGTCACCGTTGTGCATCTCGCGCGACCACGCCTTGCCCGCGCATTCGCACGAAGAAGCGCCGCGTTTTCTATTGTTTCTCGTTGAGACGAAGAAGAAAGTGTATAGGAGGTCGTCGGCTTCTCATTTTGATTGAAACTAACGATAATACGTCTGTTAAAAATAAACGGTCGAGCGAACGGGATGACGCAATTGCATGGCATCCGCGGACGCGCTAACGCCAAAATCTGTCATATTTACTAGCGCCGAGATTCATTTGATTTATGTTAATTAATCCTTAAAAATAGCTATGTACACTACACTTAAGTTATAAAACGTCCTATTTGAGAACGCAAAACACGAGTAAATCTCCTTGTGATAATTAATATAGAGAAAGGTTCACAGTTTTTTTATCTACAGTTTACAATCTCATAGTACTAATTTTCACTTCTGATCCAAGTAACTCGCTGTGTAATCGAGAATTAAAAAAAACAACTAATTAATTTCAAAGAACCAAAATAATTTGTATAAAAAAGAATTGATATTAAGTATTGGATTTGCAAATATAACATAATAAATATCGTAATGTTCGACATTTTTTACCATGAGATTTATAAATGAATGGGTCTAATAAATCCACCATCAGCTCTGGAAGATTAAGAGTACCATTAACAAGTAAAATCATTGCGTTATTGCGACAAAAACTGTCGATTCGTGACAATAATCTCATGGAATATTGATGAACATGAGGTGAGTCGTGCTACATTTACTAACACGAAGACGCAGTAAAACAGCATTGACGCTTCGGAGGTGCGGGTTGCATCTGCTCCATGTATATGATATGAAAATTATCTTCTAAAAGGTATAATAACTACGTAGAGTATAAAAAAAAAAGGAGAAGGAAGTCCGGTGCGGGCGTGCGCTGCTTCGTGCACTTTTATTAATTAATCCATTATTTACACACTGATGCTAACGTAGGCGCGCGTTGTCCGCGATGCATCATTCATCGGCATGAAAGCGTATTCGCGCGGCACGCACGCATTCACGAAAGAAGACAACCTGCATTGTACCTATTTATGTAAGGGGTGATCAAGGAAAATTATTACCTGTCAACCGCAGCCACAAAAAAATTGAAAGAATGACAAAATTCAATCGTTACCGAGCTATGAATGCGATTGTTTAAAATATAAAGAAATTACTATAAGTAAAATGGAAGTGGTAGCAAAACAAAACAAAATAAATAAATAAATAAAATCAAACTCCGATTATGAACTCGGTATATTAATAAGATAATATTTAATTCATATGTTACAATGAAACGAAAGTTCAATTTGTATATCGCGTATCTCGAATTTAATCGATCTAACGATAAATACCTCGTAGAAAAATACGCCTCGCGAAAGAAAGAAACGAATGTCAGCTCAAAGGAGAACTTAATTATCGGCTCACCCTATATATGTAACGAAACGTACGCTCGTGTGCGTGCAGAGATGCACACGCGCTCCGTGCGGTGCTTAAGTACGAAATAAGTATGGTATGCAAGTGTTGTGTATTGCATCGAGTTGGGCTGAAGACGGGGGGGGGAGGAAGGCAGAGAGGAATCGCGGTGCTTTGTAGTCGCCGCGACGTGACACAACTGCTAACTTGGGGGAAAAGGTTCCCGGTATTGCGCTCTGGACGCGAGGAAGGTGGTGTAAGTGCATATCATGCGTATGGAGGCGCATCATCCTCCTCTCTTACCTCCCTCTCGTAAGTTTGACCGCCCGCAGCCCTCGCGACGCGCTACTCTTTTCTTTTTTTTTTTTACTCATCTTTTGCACCACCCGGCGCGGCGTCCAGACGGTCAACGACTCTTTTCGGAATTACGCAATTGGCCGAATTTGTCGAATTAACGCGGTCACTCTAGCTCTCTTAGGACGAAACGTGCGGCGGCTCTTTGCGAACCACATTTTTTTTATCCAACGTCGACCGACGTAGTCGAAGTACCGACGCACGCATGAAAAAAATTAGGCGATAATTAGACGTAAAGGGCTACGATAAAATCTCACGGTTCGTCACGAGATAAGTGTTAAAATTATTTTTTATTTCCGATTCTGGTTATCGCAAAGTATATGTTTCCCTTTGTAAATAGTCGAAAAAGAGAAATATGGGGTTTCCAAATTATAATTCTTATTGCTTAGAATATATTAACATTTAAATGAGTAGGTAAGGTGATTACAGCACCCTGAGCTGTTTTCTTTAAAACTTTTCTTTGGGAACAGGAAATAAAAATAAACGCGGATAATCTAATCTAAAAATCTTAGAATTCATATATTTTCTATCTTATAATGATGCAACTAATGTTTAAAAACTATAACTTAATAGCACACACACACACACACACACACACACACAGTTAAAAATATAATATAAAATTAAATTTTTTTTAGAGATGTTCTGACACTTCACTTACTAATTTGTGTACTTTTAAATCGTCCATATACTTAAAGATTAAATATGAAAAATTATAACATTTTGCACTTGTTGTTTCGCTACGTTGTGTTAAGGTTGTATGAAGTACTAACTATACCCGTTAATGGATCCTTTAATGAGCGACAAAGCGACCAGATGAGCGGTTGAGAGAACGACGCGGTAAAGACGAGCGGACGTAGAGGTAGGACGCGAAAGCTCGAACCAATTTGAATACAATACCAACGGATTTAATAGGAACCAGCGGAGGTTCGTGGGAGTTCGCGGGTGTCCGAAAGTTTGCGAGGTGCAAACAAGAGAGAGGAGAGAAGGGAAATAAAGGAGATACGTACCTAACCGGCGGAAAAGGTTGAATGCGGAAAGAAAGAGAAAAAAAAGGAGAGAGAAAAAGAGAGAGAAAGACAAAAAAAATAAACGAAGAGATAAGATGAGAGCAGACGGGGGAAGAGGATGGACGAGGTGGAGGAAAGACCGAGAATTCGTATGCAGATTGATGTGATCGCACACGATGTAACTGCACACGGATCGCATACGAAATTGCATCGCGAAACCGGGATGGAGCCGAATGAATGAAAAATCTAGTCTCCGAAAAAGCGATACGGCTACGGTCGAATCTGTTTATCGATCGATCGATCGATATTGAAATCGTGATCACATTCTCGCACTCCAGAAAATCGCCTTTGCTTCATTCGCGAACGATCTACTTTCGACGTGCCTTAAAATGTCCGGCGCAGTGAATTTCAAGCGCGCGATGCACGGCGGAGCAGCCTTTCACGGTGTATGACAATAGCATGGATAATAATGCCAAGTCCGGAGCAATAATTATAGCTGTTTCGCAGTGCCTGTTTGATGGCAGATAATCGTAACGTTAACCGATGTTGATGAAGCCATATATTATAACTCGCTATCAATCTTAACAGAATTATAAGCTGAAAATATTTATGAACTTCATAAAGATCGAAGATCTCACGTCATTTATTTAGTTCGTGGACACGGAGATGAATCCGACAAGTAATTTAAGATTTTTCCGCGACAAAGTCGCGTAATTAAAGCTCGATAACGACGCATCCGACACGGCGACTACAAAGGCTTAATCTTTTCATATATCATATAACGCGGCGAAGAGGAATTTCCATTGCTGCTTATTAAGAGAACGAGAAGGCAATGAAACAGGACCTATACTTTACAACTCACATCTGCGAAGGTGAAGAAGAGGATGACGGAGGACGACCAGAGAATCCTCACGTAGAACAGAGGCACCTTGTCTTTTCCGATATGGATCTCGATCTCGTCGGTCGCTGCTACGCGTGCTGTATATGCTTGCGCATATGTGTATGTACGTATAGAGGACGTACACTGTGATTGACCGATAAGAGGAATAATTTTAGGACTGCTCTCTCTGCTCCGTCTCCCTCCAGTTATTTTAAAAAAAAGTTCGGGACAGAAGGATCGTTACGCCTTGAGATGAGACCTTACCTCGACCGACTTACCTCGGGAAAATAAGAAAAAAAAACGTTGCAGTTTGTTTAAATGGCGACTCTTTCGTCTTTTCCCATTCAAGACATCTTGAATCTTTGAT